TATATAATATAATATATAATTAATTTTGTAATATACTATATGAATTTTAATTTGCAAATATAAACGATAAATAAAAATATAAAAGATAAATAAAAATATAAAAGATAAGAGAAAATCTATTATATAAAGCAATGTTCAAAATAATTGATTTTAAATCTAATTATTGCGCGGAATTAATTTTTACATTTTTACTTTTAAATAAACATATTTTAATGTTATAAATTGCGTAATTATAAAATAATTTATATTTCTTAAATATAAATTATATACTTATATATTTTTAAAAATATAATAAATAAAAAATTTCTATTTTTTAATATATGAAGTATTTAATATAATAAATATATTAATATGAAATATTTTATAAAATATAAAACGTATCTGAAAATATTAATTAATAAAAAATTTTGTAAATGTTTTAATTATTTTAAAATAAAATGGAATATTTTTTATAAGTATGTGTATTATATAGTATATTATGTCACAATTTAAAATCACTATTGAAAATCATTATCAAAGAAATAAAACGAAACAAGAAATATGTATATTTTGAATATACATATATACTATTGATGAATAATACAGGCCTGCGAAAAGGGGGTCAACATTTTTTTTAAAGATGCAATAGTGATTTTTGAGTAATTTTGTGCGCTGAATCCGAATCTGTCCGCCAAATTTGCGTAACACGTCAGGTTTTTGAGTTATTTGTAGAATAGCCCAAAAATCGCTATTTTGGCCAATTTCATGAATTTATTGTAAATAAACCAAATTTTTGAAATATTTCTGTCAATGGCATCGTATAGTACTCACTTTCTTCTTTCGAATCCACTTTCGATTACCGCCGCACGATTTTCGCTGAGATATATAAGTATGACGTTGTAAAAAAATTTACATTAAAGAAAATTTATATAGACATCAATATGGTAGATCCATGATCTTGAAAGTTGAAAAGACTGACATATGTCAGGTTCGGTTGGCCAAATAAATATTGTAAAAAAATGTCTAATACAGATGTTATACATTTTGATAAATTTTTCTAAATTTTATGCCTTTTTATTGTGATTCGCTTATTGGATGCGCCATTTTTAATTTCAAAAGGTGACAGAAGGTATTTAAAAATATATATTTTTACCCTAATTTTGATTCATAGTGAGATAGAGAGGTGACACGGTTGATTTAGAATGGCTTATTAAATTCCTATGCATGACCAGTCTTATAACTTGTATATCTGAGCGAAAAAAAATCGTGCAGCAGTAATCGAAAGTGGATTTGAAAGACGAAAGTGAGTATTATACGATGCCATTGACCGAAATATTTCAAAAAATTTAGTTTTTCGCACAATAAATTCATGAAATTGGCCAAAATAGCGATTTTTAAGCCATTCAATTACAAACTACTCAAAAACGTGACGTGCTACGCAAATTCGGCGGCCAGATTCGGATTCAACACACAAAATTACGTCGGAAATCACTATTGCATCTTAAAAAAAAACCTCGCAGGTCTGTAATTTATATATTGTTGCGCGGAACGATATATATCGAACACGCGCGACACAATCGGCATACGCTCGTAAACTCGTAAATACCGCGATTTAAGATGCACAAGAATTTTAATAAATCGCGAGTAACATACAAGAAATTAGAATAATCCTAAAACGGATCACAAATAGACGCGCATCCGCACAACTTGACAGCTGGGCTTAGACTTTCTGAAAGTCGTTGCTTATAACAATATCTTGACTACGCGCGCGGAAACGATCTTCTTCGAAAGAATTCAACAGGTGACGAATACATTCAGCGGGACGGGACGCGGGGACGCAACAATATAATAAATAACGAATGTGATAAATAATTTATATTGATGACTTACATCATATCTTATTGATCCACTTCCAAAACCTCCTTTTTTCTTTTGCTTCCTTCGCTCTTTCCTCGTAGCACTTTAATCCGCGTTGCACTCATTTGAATTCCTCGTTGCACTTACACTCATTCATGAAAAGTTCCTCGTTGCATTTGCAATTGTGTTTAGAGAAAGAATTTAATAATATATGAAACGTCTCACATCACTACTTCTACTCTGCTCAAGAGCCACTGACCGAATGATCGTAAGTTAAGAATATTACCGCGGTACTGTTTATATCGTCAGGGTCGACTATGTAAAGAAAGAATTTGATAATATGTGAAACATCTGTCTCGTCACTACTCAAGATCACTGTGCGAATGATAATAAAGCCGTGTAACATATTAACAATAGCGCGATACTATTTATCAAGATCGAACGACACGGTGTTATTGATAATTCTCTCGTTGCCGAAATATTTTCTGTAATATAAAATATTCGTGCGCGGAATATTAAATTATAGAAGTATTTTAATTTATTGTTTAAGATTAATTATTTATTAAACCATTTATCATGAAACTTTTCGTTATGTTAATTATTTGCATTTATAATTCGATTGTTTTACTTCGTGTTCTCTCATAATCCAAATTATATTTATATTGTCAAGTAGAACGATAAACTAACACGGATGAAATTTGTGACTCTAAGCATTAAAATAATAATTATTGTCCGTAAAGATTGCAACGAAATGATTATTTCTTATCTTAGATTTCTATCACTTTGATTTTTGATTAAATTGTACATACACATCGCTAATATGCATTTTAAGATCGTCGCGACACAATTTTGCGTATTATTTAGCATATATAAAATTATTAAGTAATAATTATTTCAAATTATATAATATCTTATATAATATTTCTATAATTTCTAATATACTTCTCAAATCACACGTTTAAAAAAGGAATTTGATGAAGCTTCTCGCATCACTATTTTGTTTGAATTTATTTCGCGAATGATAATATAACTAAAACATGTAAATATTTTAATGCGTTATATGTTGCAAAGATCGGACGCGGTATTATTATTAATTTATTGCAAAAATATTTTATATATAGCATACATATACGCGCGAAATATTAAATTAATTTAGAGAAGTATTTTAAATTATTGATTAATTTACTATACGATTGATGTATCACGAATCTTTATATTAATTTCGACTTTGCGATCTGACTATCAGATTGGAAACAATAACGAAATAAACATATTTAGTCAAGTTAATATTTTTTTGTATAATATCTACATATATGTTATGATTATTATATAAATAAGACATCTAAATAATTTTCTTTTTTTAAGAAAGAGAGAGAGAGAAAGAGGAAAATGACTCGCAGTAATATTAATTACAATTTCGAGAACTTCCTCTGATTATTTGTTATAAATATAAACGCCAAGCACAATTAAGCATGCAAACAAACAGTACTTTTATAGATCCCTTTTATATAAAGCAAAGTGTCCAAAATAAATGATTTTGAAAAACTAATTATTACGCCCTATTTATATTTTTATTTATCCGTTGAACAGATATTTAATATCATCAATTGCACAATTATCAAAAAAATTGTTCTTGAGTATAACTTTTAAAAAGTGTAATGAATAAAAAATCTAATTCTTATATATAAAATATCTAAATAAATATATTATAAAAAATATTTTAAACGTATCTATTAAATATTAATATTATTATAATTAAATATTAATATATTACAATGTATCTATTAAATGTTAATATATTCATAGTTTTCATGTATCTTGTATAAAAATAATTAATTTATATTTGCTTTTTAGAAAAATTTAATCAAGATACTTGTCAATTATCAAAGATACTTGTTAATTATAATAATTATAACGAATTATGTTGCAATGTTAGTCACGATCGGATTGGAAAAAGAATTTGATAATATACGAAGCGTTTCACATGCTCTACTACTTTATTATTCAAGTGTCACCGTGCGAATGATAATAAAATCGTGACACGTATAGCGCGCTTGCTATCGCCAAGGCCAAACATGATATTATTGATTCTCTGCCGAAATATTTTGCGTACTACATATACACGCGGAATTTTAAATTATATAGAGGTATATTTTATTTTAAATTAATTATTAAACGATTGATGTATCACGAAACCTTTTGTTATGCTAATGATTTGAATTTAATCGATTGTTTTACTTTGTGCTTTTCCGAAGTTAAATTTTATAATATTTAGTTTTGCATTTTAAAAGACTGACTTAGAGTGAATTAAATAAATAAATAAATAAATGATGTTGAGAAAAAGAAAAAGAAGACACATAAATAAATAAATAATAGCGTGAAAAGAGAGAATGTACTAATTTTTTTATATAATAAATTATTATTACTTAAATTATTTATATTTTTATTTATATTATTTATATTATCAGAGGGACATATATGTTACCCTCTAAGAACATTCGTGGACATTGGTTTTGAAGTTCTTATCCACGTTTTTAATGTTCACAGAGGGAGTGTTGCTTCCAGGAATCACCTAAAAGTGAGCCATGACATCTCTCAATCTTCTCTCTGGTATCAAATTTGTGGAAAAACTTATTTATTTATTTTATTTATTTATTTTATTAATTAATTTTTTTATTTTATTAATTAATAAATTAATTATATTAATTTATTATTTTATTTATTTGTTTATTTTATTAATTAATTAATTTATTTTATTTATTTATTTATTTATTTTATTAATTTATTATTTTATTTTATTTATTTATTTCTACAAAATGACTTGAAAATGCTGTGAAATATAAAATTAGATAATTGCAAACTTTTCTCTAGATTTATAATGTGTCGCTTTCTGCATTAAATATGTCAATAATATTCAAGACATTAAGATTTTCGCGATTATTTGCTAACATCCCTGAATTTCATTGCCATTATGCTATGCATGCGTGAAAAAAGCAAAAAAAGTGTGTCCGAGACATTTTAGTACGAATAGTTTTAGAGTGTGTTCGTAAATCTTATCGTAAGGTAAAGTAATGTTTCATCGACCAATCAAGACAAAGAACTCTTCTGTCTCCGTATATATGATTTTTAAACGAATCCTTGCACATGCGTATTGTATTCGCAAATTTGCACGGTGTCGTGAAAAATCAAGATCAAGAACAGCTGATTTGCCGCAATCTGCCGGGATATATTTAAGGAAATATAGTCAAACATAGTCGAGGAAAGATGACTGCCTTCGAAGGTAAGATATTTATAACGAGTTATTTGTAATTTTAAATCGTGCAAAATATCAATTCAGAGATGTCAATAATTTGTGTAATAATTATTGCATCATATCTTGTATTATATCTTGTTGAAATCACATCATAATCAATTTTCTCATATTTTAGAAATGGGTGTTTTGCCAGAGATAGCAAAGGCAGTTGATGAGATAGACTGGACGTGAGTAAAATTGAGATGTAACTTTTGTTTTGAAAAAAATATAACATCTAACAGAAAAATCTAACAAATAATTATATTTGAATGATTATTATATTTTCAAGAGATTATAAATTATAGATTGCCAACCGATGTTCAATCTGAGGCCATTCCACTTATTCTGGGCGGTGGAGATGTACTGATGGCTGCGGAAACTGGTAGCGGAAAAACTGGCGCCTTCTGTTTGCCCATTTTACAAATAGTCTGGGAGACTCTCAAAGATTTGGAGTCTGGAAAAGGAGGTGCAGCTGTCGCACAGGCTCAACAACGTGTGTATTAAATTATGGCAGTTATAAGTTTTAAAATTCATCCTTGAAAGTATAATATAAATACTTTGCCATCTTACAGCAACACATTGGGGATTGAGCCTATTTGATAGAGGACGAGCCTTGGCAGTAACACCGGATGGTTTAAGATGCCAGAGTAGAGAGCAAAAAGAGTGGCATGGGTGTCGTGCAAATAAAGGGATTTCAGGAAATGGCAAGTACTTTTTTGAGGCCATAGTTACCGACGAAGGTTTATGCCGAGTTGGTTGGTCTACATCACAGGCAAGTATTCTTATATAATTATCACTGTTCTAAGTTCGTTATAATCCTAAGAATTTCGTTCTTGGAATAGGCCTCTTTGGATTTAGGAACAGATAAATTCGGCTATGGATTCGGTGGTACTGGAAAGAAATCGAATGCAAAGCAGTTTGACAACTATGGGGAGGCCTTTGGGATGCACGATGTGATCGGATGCTTTCTCGACTTGACGAGGGGTGAAATAAAGTTTTCCAAAAACGGCGTGGACTTGGGCGTCGCGTTTACATTAAACGCGCAGCAAAAGTCGCAGACTTATTATCCAGCTGTCGTATTAAAAAATGCCGAGATGGCCTTCAATTTTGGAGCGCAGCCATTTAAGCACTCGCCTCCAAATGATTATGTGGCCGTATCATCCGCTTCGAAGGAATCCGTCAAATGTAATCCAGTCAGCAGCAATCAGAACCAATCAAAGGGTAGCGATAAACCGACAAACAATGCACCCCAAGCAATCATTATAGAACCTTCCCGCGAATTAGCTGAACAAACCTACAATCAAATTCAAAAGGTAAATGAAAATTTGAAGAAATTTTGTCATTGAAATTGTACACGTGATATTAATGAAATGACCTTATCATTTGTTCAGTTCAAAACACACGTGAAAAATCCAACGGTTAGAGAATTACTCGTTATCGGTGGCGTAAACGTGAAAGAACAGATTGCCGTCTTAAATTCTGGTGTGGATATAGTCGTCGGGACTCCTGGACGTCTAGAGGATCTTATACAAGGCGGTTACTTGTTGTTGACGCATTGCAGGTAATTTGTCGCTCAATTACAAAAGAAATAACAGAGATAAAAATAAGAAGAGATAAGAATAAAATAATATATAATAAATAACTAATAAATAAAATAATATATAATAAATAAATAATAAATAAATAAATAAATATATTTCAAGGTTCTTTGTGCTGGACGAAGCTGACGGATTATTGAAGCAGGGTTACACCGAACTTATCGATCGCCTGCACAAACAGATCCCAAAAATCACGTCGGACGGCAAGAGATTGCAGATGATCGTTTGCTCGGCAACGTTACACGCATTCGAAGTTAAAAAGATGGCCGTAAGTTTGCATCGAGACATCTGTCTAACATTGACTAATATGTTATGAAAAGTAAATGAAAACGCAATATCGAATTTTGAATATTTTTGAATATTTGTCATTTGTAGGAACGTTTAATGCATTTTCCAACTTGGGTAGATCTAAAGGGCGAAGACGCAGTGCCCGAGACTGTGCATCATGTCGTAGTAATGGTAGATCCGCAAAAGGACAAATCGTGGTATAATCTGAGAAATCATTTAGAAACTGACGGTGTACATGCGAGAGATAACGTGAGACCAGGAAACAGTACTGCCGGTTAGATAAAATAACTATAATTAAAACTACATAGAAAATTCAAAGGCGATAGACAGATGATTAAATAAATTTTCTAAAAAAAAAAACAAATAATATATACATAATTCGAAGTAATAATAGGAAAGACGTCTTTCCTATTATTACTTCGAATTATGTATATATTATTTTTTTTTATTTTTTTTATATTCGATTTAAATTAAATCATCATATATCTTTACTGTATTCCAAAGAAAATTTATTGAATCATGCTCTCTATCGCCTTTGAATTTCCTATGTATTGTTAAATATTAAGAGAGCTTTTTTCAACAATTAATAATTAAAAATAACTATAATAAAATATAATTAAATATAATTAAATATAATTAAAAATAACTATAATTTTCATGCGACAAAACGAGATGGATACGATTAATACTCGTTCATCTTACAGAGACGTTGTCGGAGGCTGTAAAGATGCTGAAGGGAGAGTACTGCATTCGCGCTATCAAGGAACACCGGATGGACCGGGCATTGATATTCTGCAGGACGAAACTCGATTGCGATAATCTCGAGAGATACCTGAAACAGGCCGGTGGACAGCAGTTCTCGTGTGTGTGTTTGCATGGAGATAGGAAGCCCGGGGAGCGTAAAGCCAATCTAGAGAAATTCAAACGTCAGGAGGTGAAATTTTTAATTTGCACCGATGTGGCGGCCAGAGGATTAGATATCACCGGCCTGCCTTTTAGTAAGTAATTCGCAGTCGAGTGAAGCCTTTTCTGGAAAGATCACGTTACGTTATCTCTTTATATCATCTTTCCAGTGATAAACATAACTCTGCCCGATGAAAAGTCCAATTATGTGCATCGCATTGGACGAGTTGGCAGAGCTGAGAGAATGGGTTTGGCAATTTCTTTGGTCAGTAGTGTCCCGGAGAAGGTGTGGTATCATGGTGAATGGTGTCCTTCTCGTGGGAGAAATTGTCAAAACACCAGTCTGACTAATCAAGGTGGTTGCTGTACGTGGTATAATGAGCCTCAGGTAAGTCTCTACAATCTATTTTGTGTCTTTCGATAGAGAAAATTCGAAATAAATTCTATATTTATATAAAACTTGATAACCAACTGAAATATCCATAGTATTTGGCGGAGATTGAGGATCATTTGAACGTGACAATTCAACAAGTCGACCCGGATATAAAAGTGCCGCTGAATGACTTTGATGGAAAAGTTACATATGGTGAAAAAAGAATGGCAATGGGTATGTAATATTGTTTTTTGTATTGCGTGTTACAACGAGGCTATTATTAAAACGACTCGTATGTCTCATAGGTTCCAATTACGAGAATCATGTCCAACAAATGGCTCCTATTGTGGCGGAATTGGCCGCGTTAGAATCCAGAGCGCAGATCGCATTCCTAAAGACTCATATAGCAGAGCGTTAGAAGCGAAATACGTGGATATTTAACAATTAAAATTCTAATCGAATCTCGCAATATTATTTATGATGTTATTAATATTTGTAATGTGATATATATATATATATATATATATATATATATATATATTTGCTCTTTCTTTTTTATATTTATGAAAATTTCTGGAGCTTCTTTCATATTTGTATAAAATCATGGCATTAAGTTCATATGTGCATAATGGAGATATATTTAAATATAATAATATAAAAAAAATTGTGTATTTCTCTTTATGACGCGTTCAAACGAGACGTACGATAAAATACACACACATAGTGTTCCATTTTAAATAATGCACATAAATATCTTTGAAGATATGGTGATTTGATGATATCGAAAAGTGTTAGATAAGAGTTTCAAAAGAGACATAATCTGACATCAAGTTTCTTTTTTCTAGAGCAAATATAAACGTCAACTTCTTTTTTTTTTAAATACACTTTGCATAATACATTTTCGTAATATACTTTGCATTAATCAAGTATATAGTTTTTGACTTTAATATGTAATTACATAAAGCTGTTATTACTCAAACTATGTTCGAAACTTCAATTTTTGTGTGAATCACTTTTCGATATCACTTTTAGATTCAAGGATAGCGTATCATTTAAAATGAAATACTTTATATACACACACACGCCCTGTAAAAATTGGGCCCCACAATTGATTGCCAGAGAGGCGTCTGCCATTTATGTAAGACGTATGGTAAGTATTTATTGTATCGTTATTAATCTGCATAATCGTATCATTACTATTTTACTCAAACAAACGTATGGTACAGTGGCTGTGTGCTACTGTAATTTCCTTATAATGTGTACGTGTGTGAAATGTAGCATTGTGTGACTGTGTTCTTTTTTTTTTCTATATTTATATAATATATGATATACGCTTATAAGAAAATTTACTAAATGACTTCTGTTTAATTACACATAATAATTTATACACACATAACTCTTATATATTCTCGAAAGCAATGATAAACGACTAAAGTTATACAGTATACAAATCATACTGTTCTCTCTTCTCGCCGCAATTCGGATACAGCTGTGTTCTCGCTTCTTCTCTTTATCTTCTTTTTTTTTTTTAACATATTAAAGTTCTATGTTTTGCGCGCGATGTGTTTATCGTGTCCACTTCCTCTTCTTCTTCTTCACACACGTAATGAACGAGAGACACATACACACGCATCTTCTTACGTCTATAAAGATTCATTTCTCCGTTTTCTCTTTCTCTCTCATTTGCGCAAGTTAGTACAACGACTGTTAATTAAATTTTTATTTGCTAAATCAATCGATTAATCCATTAGCCTTAAGACTTTATGTAAACATCTCTTATTCTCCTCTCGCCTCTTGTATTCAGTAGACAGTCATCACAGAATGAGAATGAAATATTTTCCTCGTAATCTAATAACATGTTTAATACACGCACGCAATTCCATACGCACATCGCTCACAATATGTACGCAACGCACACTCGATCCGTGATTGATTCAATGAATTGTATTTATATATTTATATAATATTTATTTATATTTATTTATATATATATGTATATCTGTTATTATCCCCTATTTGTTCGTTCCACGATTCGCATTTCAATGGCACCGGCAGATGTACGTGCACGTTTAATTAATTATGCCTTCACCGTGTGAAAAAAAAATATATATATATTATATATATTTTTTTATATATAATATATATAATTATATATAATAATAATAATTATATAATAAATTATATAATATTAAATTATTATATAATTAATATATAAATATTATAATTTAATATAAATATTAAATTATTATATAATAAATTATATAATAAAATTAATATTATATAATATATATATTATATATATATTTTTTATCTTTGTTAATTGCACTGTACGCGCGAGATACTAATCGCCTCATCTTGTCTCTTTCTTCCTCTTCTATCTTAGCACATCAATGTAATTCTTTTCGGAATAACAAAGCCACGGTGACGAATATAATCGAAGTTGGTGGAAATCGTGGCACGAACAATATGAATTTGATTTCCTAACGAATGTCACGAGTTCATCACTCACTCACATCGCGTACTCTCATTCGATTTGCGTCACTCCTAAATTAATATAGCACTTATTAAATGTCACCATCAAAGATATCTTATCTTTCACGCTTCTCTCTCTCTCTCTCTTTCGCACTGATAATAATAATAATAATAAGAATAATTCATTTTTAAGTCTTCAACTAGACATCTTTCTAAGAGACACGCAATAACGAATGAATTAATTGAAGATACGAGAGAAAATGGGGCACAAGAAGACATGATTGATCGTAATTTTTTTTTCTCTTCCTATTTTCTTCACGTTTTTACGTGAAATTATCAGGAATCTGTCGTTTTTGTTGTCAAAACACAGTTTGGATTAAAGATGATTATCTTTATAAAATGACGTAGTGCACGCCAGTCTTCTCCAATCGTGATTCTTTGCATTTCAATATTTCGCAGTCGCCCCTCTTATAATTTATTGAATGCAATTTTTTCTCTCTAGGATGTGATAAATGAACCCCATGTCTCTCTTTCTCTTTCACACATATATTCTTTTTCTTTCTCTCTTTCTGTATATATATATATATATATATATATATATATATATATATATATATATATATCAGGGTTGGGTAAGTTTATATTTTTTTTAAACTAAATTAATTTAATTATGTTAAAAGTTACACAAATAAAAAATTAACTCAATAAAAGTTACGTTAAGATTAAATTAACGTTAGTTAAGATAAAAGTTAAAATTTTGAAAAGCATTATTTCACTTTATATTAAATTAGATTGTAATTTTAAGATTAGATTACTCTAAATAATAATATGAATCATCAAATAAATTTGGGAGCAAAGTTAATAAGTTTAAGTTTGTGTGTTTTAAAAATAACTAGTTGAAGTTAAAAGTTAACTCTTTTTAAAATAACTAAGTTGAGTTAAAAATTATTAACCTTTTAACTTTTTTTTAACTAAACAACTAGTTATTACCCAACCCTGATATATATATATATATATATATATATATATATATATATATATCTTAGTGTAGCATTAAATTTAATACCGCGATGATGTATATTTAACGGCGACACTTTACGCTTTATAAAAATGTGGAGCCCAGCGAACCGCTATCGAAGACTAGAAAAAGTCAAATTCCAAATAGCACTGACGATCGTTCACCACACATATATCCTTATAGAAATGACATCATTTCGATTAATTACTTAATTTCTAGAATAGATGACGCGCTCGAGGCACAAGTAGCTTCTTTCTCTTGCTTCTCAAATTTTCTCCTAAAAAACGACGGAGCGATCTTACGTTAAAAAATCATACATATTTATATGCGAGATCACATACCGAGGGTATTTTCATCGCAGAGGGCATAAGCCCAAAATTGCATTCTACAAAAACGAGAAAAAAATGTTTGAAAATTCGAATTTTATCATAAAAATTTCTCGATTGCAAAATATTATTATTAATTAATCTTAATTTTGATGTTGCAAAATATTATTATTAATTAATCTTAATTTTGTTGTTGAAATTAGGGATACGCCCCTCTGATGAAATCCTCGATATAAATACAATCTTGTTACACTGCAACGTAAAAAAGTGAAAAAACAAAATAATTATGCAAATATTATATGTGCGTGTATTTTTTGATATTTTATAACATATCTAGATAGGAATCAGATTTTTACACGTACGTATGATTTAATCTTATGATATACGACGAACGTAAGATCGCTTCACGTTTCTATAATTTACCTATCATGATCGAAAGGAATTGAATTTTCCGACAAATGACGAAGAACTAACGAAATGATTGAGAAAAGTACAGAAAGGCACGATTCACTATGGAACCATGGTGGAACCATGATATAGATACAAGATAATGGAACATTTCCTTTCTCTCTCCGCGACTGGAAGAGCGATAAGAGATAGTGCACTGGCCCAGCTCCGAAAAATTTGATGCTGCTTGAACGATTTCATCGAGATTCGAGCTGAAAGAGATTCGCATCTTCTGAAGGAGAACGTCACATACAATTTCGATCAGCTGTCAAAGAACAACGCGCTCGCGTGTCGCATTCTTTTTTTTTTCTTTAATAAAAATTTAATAATAATTGTTGAATAAAAATTTTAATAAATAAAACAAATATATATATGTACATATATTTATTCTTTTTCTCTTCCATATATATATATAACGCATCGGACCAAACGATAACATTTGTCGAATATTTCCGAATCCGCTGATGAAATCGTCCAAGAGCAAAATGTATCTCTGGCATTGGATGGTAGCTCGTTATTTAAAACTAATTGTCAAATACAGTTTATTCGTGACAGATGGAATTGCATTCGCTTCTAACGCTCTCGACCGAATGAAAGACGCACTAGTTCGCGTAATAAAATTAAATTTTTTGATTTCAATTTTTCGAAAAATCGCAAAAAACTCTCAGGATTGAAGAAAAAAAAAACATGTAATATAAAACTAGGATATAAAATTTCACGAGATAAATCTCTTACAAAAGCAAAGTCGCGCTCGTCGGACGTCGATCAAACAATTTGACAACGGGTCTGCAAAGTTTCGAGATTTTTTTGCTGCGTAATTTAATCCGATTCTGCAAATCTCTCGTTGACGCGTAACGTGAAAAACTCGCGCAAGTCGCTACTTACAATAGGTCAGTCGCTAATAATTCACGACAATCGTCCGTCACGCGATGATACAATAATATATAATTAATGTTACAATGATACTATTCACACTTTTAATAAAACTTGCGACAATGCGAGGAGATTGTTTATTGAATAACAGCGTAACGACAATAATGATTCGCTCGTGATCTAATCTTAATCCGTGGCACACAACATCCAGCCACGCACACGCGATCAGTAGACGTTTCGTGCTCTCGTTGGAAATGCATAACGAATTCCAAAGCGGATCTCGACTTTTTGACTATCGCGTCGCAGATTATCCAGGCTCAGTTGTACTGATACAATCCCGATTAGCCATCTTCAACTTGTACAGCCGACACAATTTCTAAAAAACAATTATATGGATATATCTACATATTTCTGTCATCATTTTAATATTTATTATTTAATATTAAATTAATATTTAATATTTATTATTTTAATATTAAATTAATATTTAATATTTATTATATTATTTCAGACATCTGTTTAAATTTTTTAAAAATTTTGTATCATCTGGCCTAGTCCCTTCTTCTTCTATTTAAGAATGGACTTCTCGAAATCTGCTGATGACCGGGTTAATTAGTGCAACCGAACCACAGATCGAATGCGAGGATAGCAATAGCCCAGCAATTATAGTTTTTTTTTAATGACGATTACCTCCAATTTTCCTCATGCCCGCTTTTCCGTTACGCTAATTCCAATTACACACGTCTACTTTCATTTTCGCTATTTAAGGCTACATAATCTGCGACGTGGTCCACAAAGAATATTGCTAAGGACGAAACAATAATGCGCTTCGCGGACAACGTGTGCTGCATTTATTCCATTTTATTTCCTCTATCAACCATTGGCGTTTGTAGCATCGATCGCTTTCCTTTACGCGCCCCTCGTCGACTTAAATACATCCTCGGTCGCTTTACAATCGCTATTGTTTACCTCGCGCCGGATCGTCAACGAGTGACGGCGTTTCATCGGGATTTCGACGCGATCGTCTCCCCTACTCTTAATCATACATAGCATGTCCCTCGATTTCAATTAGATGAGATACGCAATCTTTTCGACGTCCACACATCAAAATCATAACGTCATTGCTTTTTGTCGCGATCACACGCGGAATCTGACAGTCATTAATTATTTACAAATAATAACGTATCTTCGCGCGCTCGCGAAATATTATACATATACATGTATGTATAAATATACATATATATATAATAATAAATATATATACTTTCAAGTATAAATAATTTATAAATATATATATATATATATATAATATATATATAATATATATAAGTATAAATAATTTATAAATAAATATATATATATATATATATATATATATATATATATTTTATAGATATATATTTTATATATAATATTATATGTATATATGTATATATTGTATACATACATGTACATATTATGTATAATATGTATATATAGATATTTTCGCATGCCGGCTTTTTACGCTTACGTACAGGAAAAAGAAAAGAAAAACTTGTGCGATCTCGGCGTATGTATATGTGTGAATATGCGATGGTGTGTGTGTGTGTGTGTGTGTGTGTATATGTCGCGCTACATAATTATGGGGGCCACGTAACTCGACTATTTGCTCTTTATTCGGTACATCGCATTCCCTACGTCGTTTTAGCGTACACGCATGCACGCACGCAGGCACACATACGCACACGAGCACACAAACGCTACGCCAACATTCTTCCTCTTTTTTTCCTTATTTAGTCTAGATGAATAATAGCGTTCTTGCGCGCATCACACACACACGCACGCACATAGTTTCTCTCCTTCTAACGTGGACAATAGAAATTCGTTATTACGTGGCTTCGATTTGTCTCTTGCTCGCGCTAATTTCCGTTCGACGTCGCTACACTGAGGAAAAAATTATCTTGAAATAAAAAAATTTTAGTTAACTCAAGAAAGCTAATAAATAAAGCTAATAAATAAAGCTAACAAATAAAGTAAAGGGCCTAAAAGAGCAAATGATTTACAGTCAAATAAATTTAAATAAATGTAATTAATAGAAAAAAATATGTGAAATTATAAAGCTGTTCGACAAATGTAAATCTACAAACGTTTCTGTCCTAGTCTGGACGCTCTTCAGTGTGCGTAGTTAAATAAAACGGTTTAACAATATTTCTTAAAAAGTAAGACAAAAAATCACAAAGATGTTACGTAGAAAGTCTCTCCAAAGGTGCAAACCATTGTCCATTGTTTTTTTTTCTATTAATTACATTTATTTAAATTTATTTGACTGTAAATCATTGCTCCTTTAGGCCCTTTACTTTATTTGTTTTCTTTACAGGAGCCATCCTATATTATCAAGAAAGCTATTTATTTGGTGGGTACCAATCACGTATTTACTTGTATTTAAAATTTACGTCTGTTTGCTTAAGTATTTATTTATATATGCTTAAAAAATATAATTTTTAATTAAATATTTTTATTTTAATTTTACAAAATATTTATTAAAATGCATTTTTTATTCCCAAAAATTTTAAATTTTTTAATTTAAAAAAATAATATATTTAATAAATTATATATTTTACGAAAATAGTATTTAAATATAAGAAATATCTAAATGAAAATAATGTACTTGATATAACATGCATATTTAATTAAAATTAAATGCTTTTGCTTAAATGAAATAAGCAATTCCTTGCATTTAAAGCAAAGGTTTCAGGAGAACAAATTTATTTGATTTAACAAAATTTTTCCCTCAGTGTACGTAAACCTCTCGAAATCAGAAATCAGGGCGCATTCGGTGATTCGTATACTACGGAAAAAGGAAAAGAGGAAGGAGGGGAGAGGAGGGAAAATAGGAACGAGAATACCCGCGGCGAGATTTACCGATTACTCTCGTTACACTCGCTTCTACTTGACTTTGTGCCGAGTGTGAACATTCAAGTTCCACGGAAGTTGTCGATACAACATAATAATCGAGCGAAGAAAGATCCTTCCCTCTGCTCGATCTCTTCTCTCTCTCTCTTTCTCTCTCTCTCTCTCTTTCTCTCCCTCTCAATCATATCAGTCACATTAGTCACATAGTAAAAATAACGTCTCGCGAAGTTATAAATAACGTTACAAACTATGGCTCTTGTGTGTCTATTATGTATTAGTACGATAGAGATGCAAGTGTACATAGTGACACGAACGAGGCGGCTGTATCACTTCCTCTCTCCGCCAAAGTGATTTGCGTCGCTGCTTATTTATAGAGTCGGATTGGAATTTTGCAAATTTAATTCTGCAACATCGGCGGACACTAAATGCGAAAACGATACACATTTAATTTCATCTATCGCGCAAAAAAAGAGCAGAGAAGAATTTCGTTCGCGCGAAATGTTTTCCATCGCCTTATTCGTACCACTCTACGTATTTATACACGTACATCGATATATGAAATTACAGTTACGTAGTTGTGGACACGTCGGCGGTGTGTAGAGGATACCAGTTATGTAATGCCCCGAAATTCCTATTCTCGTCGAGTCACGATGAAAAAAGAAGTGCAAGAATCGCGCTACTAATTTAATAGATTAATTTTATAAAACAGTGGAATCCCTAAGTAAAACGTCACTGAATGAAACGAGGTCAAAGATCGAGTCGCGTAATCGTTTGTACAGATAATCGAAACGAAATTTCTCCGATATACTCGAGTATTAAAAATACATTCGCAGATCCAATGTAATATTAGTCCAACATGTGTAATCACTTATATAGCCTCGTTAGGACAGAAATATTAGATTATACAGGATTATATAGGAACGATTAACAATCAAAAAGAATAGGAATAACGGCCGAGTGTGTTACAATATATGCTACACAAAACCTCGCTTTTATTCCTGTAAAAAAAAAAAAATCATGGCGTATTGATTAACCCTTTGGCTGTAATATTTAAAAGTTTCTTTTTTTTTTTAATCAGGATAAAAATGCGTTGCGATCAGTGTAAATATAAAATGCCCACGTTTATTAAAATAGTTATATGATAAATAAAAGAAGCTTGAAAAATCACGAAAAGAAGATTAAGCAAATATATCGGCTTAAAATTTTGCTGCAAATATTTCGAACCTTGCTAGGTGCGCCTACACATGTAGCTAAAGGGTTAACCGAGCAAAAATGTGTGTATGCGAATGTGCCCTATGTGCGCAATTATATGGAATTTTTTTTTTATTCTCGCTTTTGATCCCGCAGAATCTTTTATAGATGACAATCGCAATATACGATGGTATACATATGCAAAACATGGGCGATGTGTCTATCGTATACGCATTATACCCTCAAAACACGAGCACACAATGATCCACGCACATAGATCAACATTTTCGATTTTTTAAAACAAGATCGAAATCGATAATTGACGATATAAATGTGTGAAGATTTTTTTTTAAATCTTTCCTCCTTTCCATGCATGATTGTTTTTTAATTTGAAGCTAGCAAGATGCATTATTCCTTAATATTATACGTTACATTTTGCTTTTTCTTCATCGGTAATTATATACAGCGAATTCTTTTAATACACGATGCTAAACTTTCAGAAAAATTTAGTTTACCTTTTTAAATTATTATATAATAATTATAAATACGATCTTTAAATAAATAAATACACTGTAAAAAATTTTTATGTAAATTTACATTTCATAGATAAAATTATTATCTTAAATGGTAAGTAAGCATCTTGTACTAATAAATTTACATGTTAGAAGTAGATTTCTAGAAATGTTTATGTAATAATACATTTTGTATATGTATTTATACAATTTCACGTATTAAATTTAATTTAAAATTATATACATAATTAGTGTAACAATTACGCTATTTATAACGAAAATATATAAATTCATGTACTTTTACAAAAATTAGTTATTTTACTCTTTATTGTGTAAATATTTATTAAGTGTAATTTTTAAATTTTATATAAGTGTTACAAAAAATTGTACATTTACATAAAATCCAAAAATTACACTTTTAATCTTGTAATTTCTCATCAAATATAAACGAATATTTACAAAATAAAGAAACTAATTTTTGTAAAAGTACATGAATTTATATAATATATTTCCGTTATAAATAGCGTAATTGTTACACTGATTATGTGTGTAATTTTACATACATTTTTTACAATGTATACAGCGAAGAATTCTTTTAATACACGATGCTAAACTCAGAAAAATTTACTTTACCTGTTAAATTATTATATATATATTATTATATATTTATATAATTATAAATACGATCTTTAAATAAATAAATACTATAGTAAAGAAATATTCGATTTCCACATTTTCGATAGAAAAATGACTGGAATAAAGCAGCTGCCAATTAGAGCTAGCCAATTAGATGTCTCTTCAAATTTAAAGTATTGTACTTGATCTATGTGTACGTCATTGACGCGCAAGTATTTCGTTATCTTTTGATATAACGTCAACTAAAGTTAAATTTACGCAAAAGTTAAATTTAAAGGAAAAATTGATAAATAATCTACTATAGATAGAAAATATTCAAGCATCGACGAGGGAAGTGGATGCAATTATGACGGCGCGTGGGAGACAAAAAAAATTCTTGCACATCGGAGCCGGGGCATTCGCCGTAAGAATGATCCACATCGTGATTGACTGTCGGGTCAGTCGCGTAAAAATTTGTACACGTTACCATCAACGTATCATCGGGGCGCGACGATCTCTCCGAAAATGAGATGCGAATTCGGTGCCAAAGTAAAAAACAATTAAATTTTTACACGAGCTTAAAAACGTTGTGCGTGCAACGTTACCGCAAAATTACACTTGCATGCGCATGATAACGAAGAACTTGAACGTGGCACATTTTCATTTACGTGGGCTAGAATGCACAGAACGTTATTATTATTGTTGCGGTAGTGCGCGTGCCTAAGTACAGAAAAAACTAAAAAGAAAAAAAAGTAGTAACTTCATTTACAATATATATATATATATGTATATTGTTGGTAGCGGAAAAAAAAAAAAAAGAAAAAAGGGGGGAAAGTCCGTATCCGTGAGAGACCTCGATCGATAAGAAATGTACGTAAAAAACGATGAGAATCCGTGGACGGTCACCCTGTACATACTCGATACATATTTATATAATTAAAACGCTCTTCGAAATACTGTAAAATGTCACAAAATACTCTTCTCGTAAAAAGGGCGCGGCTGAGACACTTCTACGGGTCAGGCCAATGATAATGATGATAATAATAATAATAATAATAATAATAATAATAATAATAATAATAATAATAATAATGATAATAATAATAATAAAAATAAAAGGAATTGAGATTCGAAATTCGAAAGCTCAACGAAAGTAAAAGAAGAAAACGGGAGATAACACAGAAATTCTAAGCGAGATGTAAGGAGGAGCTAGGCAAGGGTAGTAGCGGAGATTCGAAAAACGAGTAAAGAGGAGAAAGTTAAAAACGAATAAAAGTTTTTCTTCTTCTTCTTCTTTTTTTCTTTTTTCTTTTCACCGGAGAGGTTCGCCTAAGTCTTAGGAAACATCCTTAAACGCTAAGCTGATAACGATAATAATTTACGTCAAGAGTGTGTTGAACGAGAGGAGAATCGTCACTCGAATCACACCCGATGACGACGTTGGCCCACGTTTACGACAGGATCCGCGCGCGTTTTCCTGAACGGAATTGCACGCAAATAGGAATAAAATTAACGGTAACGAGGTAAATGGTTCATAACGCACGATCGAGCGCGAGAGTTTCGTTCCCGTCATCGTCGTTCGGACGACGACGACGACGAGTGTTCAGCACACTCTTTCATCTAACTCAAAAGAGAGTCGAGTAACCGTTTGAGAATACGCCCGGTGGAAAGGGCCGCTCGTTCATTTTCGTCGAACGACTGCGAGACGACGCATCGACGCGCGGTTTACACGATTTTACGATTTATTCCATGCGAGAGGGAACGCTTCGTTCGCGAGAGACAGATTTCAGACGGTGAAACGAGAGATTCAGCAGCAGTATGTATCGGCGTATCGGTTCATCTTTCTGAATCTTGTCGGCGAAAAGAAATGGAGCGATCGATTTGCAGAGTCCCCTCTCTCTCTCTCTCTCTCTTTCTCTCTTTCTACGTCTGCTGGCGAGTTCTCGATGAACGCGGTCGTCCATCCCGTCGACTATGCTTCCGATCCCGGAGGAAGCCCTCGGCGCGCGTTACCTGATTGGCAGCGAATGCTTTCGCGACGAGTTTCGCGGGTCTTTGCTCATTCGCTTGCTCAGAGTGATCGCAATTCGAGGCGCAGCACGAGCGTGACGGTCAGGTTAACGGATGATGACAGGAAACGTCGGCAGGAACGAAGTCACAAGAGCTCGTATTGACGCAGGTGCATCCGTTGGATGATGTCCCGGCAATCGTTGAACACTCTCTTGATGTTCTCCGTGTCAACGGCGCATGTGAAGTGCGGGTAACAGTAGTGCTTGCCATCACCGCTCGCCGTACTTATGCGCTAGAAAAATAGGCAACATCTTGAAGAAACGTCTCGGATATCGGTCGCCAACCGAAACTCTGCTAGTCTACTACTACTTTACACTTACGAGAAACTCATCTCTGATAAAGTACTTGGCCCTTATGACGTCAGGCGGTTCCGAGGGATCCGCGACCACCCCAGGTTCGACTGGGGTTTGGTAACGCGCGAATTCCGGAAAGTAATCCTCGAGTTTGTGCTTGCCCGCTTTGACTTTTTCCGCTAAGAGATCTTGCTTGTTTAGGAACAAGATCACAGAAATCGTCCGGAGCCATCTGTAAAGAAAGAAGAGAAAAGATTGAGTGAATATTGGATTCATCGCGGTTTTTAAGAATGTTTTGTACAATCCTAGCGAAAAGTAGCTGAAAATCAATATTGATAAATATTCACTTTTGGTGTATTTTGAGTAAGAAATTGTGTGGAATATTACAATTTGATCTTAACTACAGCGCAGAGATGTATTTTTTTATGTTTATTGCGTTTTTACTGAAATATTCCGAATTTTGTTAATCGAAATGATTAACTTTTGACAGAGAATTTCGCCATGTGACCGATACATGGCTAACTTTATTCAATTATATTTAATATCTTTTTAACCAGTTAGTACTTGTATAATATTATTTGACCAAATATTTCCTCTGTATCTAAATTTTTGCAAATTTTAAACAAATTCTGAATATTATTTCCACGTGTTTTTGTCATTTGAATCGACGTGATTATACGTTTCCCATAAAAATACATGTTAATTCGATGCAAATTAAAATCTTTATAACTTGTGAACACTTTAGCGAATCGATTTAAAAATTGTACTGAAGATTCTAAACATATGTAAGGACATTTTGTATAATTTTTATTAAATTCTCAATATTCTGAAAATAGATACAAAACATCCTTAATCGAAATGATTACCTTTTGGCAGAGAATTTCGCCTTGTGACAGATACATGGCTAACTTTATTCAATTATATTTAATATCTTTTTAACCAGTTAGTATTTGTTTAATATTATTTGACCAAATATTTCCTCTGTATCTAAACTTTTGCAAATTTTAAACAAATTCTGAATATTATTTCCATGTGTTTTTGTCATTTGAATCGATGTGATTATACGTTTCCCATAAAAATACATGTTAATTCGGTGCAAATTAAAATTCTTATAACTTGTGAACGCTTTAGCGAATCGATTAAAAAATTGTACTGAAGATTCTAAACATATGTAAGAACATTTTGTATAATTTTTATTAAATTCTCAATATTCTGAAAATAGATACAAAACATCCTTAATCGAAATGATTACCTTTTGGCAGAGAATTTCGCCTTGTGACAGATACATGGCTAACTTTATTCAATTATATTTAATATCTTTTTAACCAGTTAGTATTTGTTTAATATTATTTGACCAAATATTTCCTCTGTATCTAAATTTTTGCAAATTTTAAACAAATTTTGAATATTATTTCCATGTGTTTTTGTCATTTGAATCGATGTGATTATACGTTTCCCATAAAAATACATGTTAATTCGGTGCAAATTAAAATTCTTATAACTTGTGAACGCTTTAGCGAATCGATTAAAAAATTGTACTGAAGATTCTAAACATATGTAAGGACATTCTGTACAATTTTCATTAAATTCTCAATATTTTGAAATTAGGTACAAAACATCCTTAAGAGTGAGATGAAAATTGAAGTTTGTGTACCGATTATTCCAGATACTTTTGAAAAGGTCGAGACTCTCTCTGAGTCTCAGCTTCGTAGGATCTTCCCTGAGGACCATATTGTAACTACTACACGCCGTGACGAATATAATTGCCGTAACGTCATTAAAACACTGTATCCATTTTCTTCTTTCATCTCGCTGGCCACCAACGTCGAACATACTGTAAGAGAAACATACTCAATAAAATGATCAACCATAACATCGCGCTTGATGATCCATTTTTATTACAATCCCTCCCTTATTTAGAAAAAAAATTAGATACTCAGAGGAATAATATCACCAAACTATATAAATTGTATCATTGAATCTCCTCTTTGAGTCTACAAATCTTGATTCAACAAGCCTCTAAGGGTAATTATTTGCCAACATATTGACTTTTTTGAACGAAAAGATACTCGGGCCTTTAAAGTCACAAGTAGACAGATTTCTCGCGTTTGTTGAAGGAGCCTCGGATTCGTAAAGCCCGTGAAACGTCTATACGAGCGTGGAAGGCGAAGCAACAAAGAGATAGTGGGCCTATAGAGAATAATGTGGGGCGCCGTACGTGACCTGCCTGCGAGTGAACGCAAAAAGGGAAAATGTTACAAAGTTGCGGAGGCGTTAACGCGGTTAACGGATTTCAGTTTACACGTTATAACACAGTGTAAGTCTTGCCGGCAGCGGGCGTAACAACACACAAGCGGAGGATCCTAGGATAAGATGCCGCCGCCACCGCCGCCGCCACAGCTTTGCGTTTATATTTACCGTCGACCGATGTTACTGTAATATGTCGGCTATATATAGTCACACGACATTGGAGCAAAGCGTGTCGCACTAGGACTTACTGAAAGTTCACTTTGTCGACCTGAAACCGCGTCTCAAAAATGCCGGACGTGAGAACTCGACACCTCAAGATGTCCTGAAACAGAACGATACGTGTTAGAACATGCGGTGTATCCATCTTTGTCAGGTACACAGAAAAAAAAATAAGTGTCACATCAAAACTTATATACTTAAACTAACGCGTTCATTGTTTCGTATATACGCGACAATTTATAATCATTTATCAATTACAACATATAATCTTCTTCGAAGAATTTAATAATTTTAAATTTCAACAATATTATAGTCTTATTTTAATATTACAATTGTCCTCAAGAATATTGCAATTGTCCTCAAGAATATATAATTATTTAATTCTACTTTCAGAAAATTATAATCTTTGATTTAAAAATGTTATTTTCTATCTAACATTGTTTCTTTTTCATTCAAGAAAATTAAATCTTAAATCATAAGAATATATTTTTCTCGATTGAACTATATAAAATGGTTTTATTCAAGTAAGCAATTATTCAAGCAATTATATTTTTCTTAAATTAATGTGATATAATCTTATTTCAAGATTTTCATGTTAAAATTAAATATATTTTCAAAACAAGAATGTCCTTTTTTCCCTGAGCTTGTACACAGACAAAAAATAAGTATCAAATCAAAACTTATATACTTAAACTAACGCGTTCATTGTTTCGTATATACGCGACAATTTATAATCTTCTTCGAAGAATTTAATAATTTTAAATTTTAACAATATTATAGTCTTATTTTAATATTGCAATGTCCTTAAGAATATATAATTATTTAATTCTACTTTCAGAAAATTATAATCTTTGATTTAAAAATGTTATTTTCTATCTAACATTGTTTCTTTTTCATTCAAGAAAATTAAATCTTAAATCATAAGAATATATTTTTCTTGATTGAACTATATAAAATGGTTTTATTCAAGTAAGCAATTATTCAAGCAATTATATTTTTCTTAAATTAACGCGATATAATCTCATTTCAAGATTTTCATGTTAAAATTAAATATATTTTCAAAACAAGAATGTCCTTTTTTCCGTGAGCTTGTACACAGACAAAAAATAAGTGTCAAATCAAAACTTATATACTTAAACTAACGCGTTCATTGTTTCGTATATACGCGACAATTTATAATCTTCTTCGAAGAATTTAATAATTTTAAATTTCAACAATATTATAGTCTTATTTTAATATTGCAATGTCCTCAAGAATATATAATTATTTAATTCTACTTTCAGAAAATTATAATCTTTGATTTAAAAATGTTATTTTCTATCTAACATTGTTTCTTTTTCATTCAAGAAAATTAAATCTTAAATCATAAGAATATATTTTTCTTGATTGAACTATATAAAATGGTTTTATTCAAGTAAGCAATTATTCAAGCAATTATATTTTTCTTAAATTAACGCGATATAATCTCATTTCAAGATTTTCATGTTAAAATTAAATATATTTTCAAAACAAGAATGTCCTTTTTTCCGTGAGCTTGTACACAGACAAAAAATAAGTGTCAAATCAAAACTTATATACTTAAACTAACGCGTTCATTGTTTCGTATATACGCGACAATTTATAATCTTCTTCGAAGAATTTAATAATTTTAAATTTCAACAATATTATAGTCTTATTTTAATATTGCAATGTCCTCAAGAATATATAATTATTTAATTCTACTTTCAGAAAATTATAATCTTTGATTTAAAAATGTTATTTTCTATCTAACATTGTTTCTTTTTCATTCAAGAAAATTAAATCTTAAATCATAAGAATATATTTTTCTTGATTGAACTATATAAAATGGTTTTATTCAAGTAAGCAATTATTCAAGCAATTATATTTTTCTTAAATTAACGCGATATAATCTCATTTCAAGATTTTCATGTTAAAATTAAATATATTTTCAAAACAAGAATGTCCTTTTTTCCGTGAGCTTGTACACAGACAAAAAATAAGTGTCAAATCAAAACTTATATACTTAAACTAACGCGTTCATTGTTTCGTATATACGCGACAATTTATAATCTTCTTCGAAGAATTTAATAATTTTAAATTTTAACAATATTATAGTCTTATTTTAATATTGTAATTGTCCTCAAGAATATATAATTATTTAATTCTACTTTCAGAAAATTATAATCTTTAATTTAAAAATGTTATTTTCTATCTAACATTGTTTCCTTTTCATTCAAGAAAATTAAATCTTAAATCATAAGAATATATATATTTTTCTCGACTGAACTATATAAAATGGTTTTATTCAAGTAAGCAATTATTCAAGCAATTATATTTTTCTTTAATTAACGCGATATAATCTCATTTCAAGATTTTCATGTTAAAACTAAATATATTTTCAAAACAAGAATGTTTTTCTGTGTATTAATGAACGAATCGTAAACCCCGGAGTAATTTTCGGAATATTTTTAAATTTTTTAACCATTTTCTACAAATATATGCGAGAGAAAGATGAAAAAATCCTTGAAAAATTTCATTCATAGAGATGTTCTACTGACACTTGGGTACCTTCATAAAAAACAAGATTGTGACGATTACCTGTTCTGTGGGCGTGTAATCCGGCTGTTTTACGATGGCTACCTTATCTAGAAAACTGAAACAGAAAGAAACAATAAGTATTAGTGAATAATTTATAGCGATAGCTTCTTTAATTATTCGTTGCACGCGAATAAATTTGTTCAACGTTTCAGTTTTTCAGCAGTTTTCCTTCATTACGAAGAAACTCATATAGATATATATTTTTTACAAATATTTATATTACAACAATAACCATGAGCCGTTGCGTCTGTAATATTCTATGAATATTTCATGTGTTTTTCGTGCTGATTAAAATAAACAAAAAACCGTACATTTAACGCGTTTTTAATAAGCGATTTATTATTAATATCATTGCAAAGCTTCATATCTATTTTTCGGAAAAATACCCAATTTAATTTTGCAAAATATATACGTTGTATCTTGTACAATTTTTGATTTGAAAAATATCATGGCAGAATATTTTATTTGCATTATATGTAAATATCGATGGATTTTCTTCTCAGATTATTTCCTCGGATATTCCAACAAATTTCTTAAACCAAACGGTGTATCAATCTACAAATCAAAAGAATGTAAAACGTATATATCGAATATCGGTGCCTTCAACGACACAAGCCAAACGAATTCGTCAAAATCATGTTGAACTAGTTTCGATCGATGCGGGACATCCGCGATAACAATCATTGTCAATCAACCGCATCGTTATCGTGAGAGCCACTCCACACATCCGTATATGGTCGAAACGTGTCTGTTTTATGTGATGTAGATGCGAATCAAGTTTTCGGAGACTCCAGTCCCACGTTCGCCAACATAAATAATCGCTGAAATTGCAAGAAACGTCGCACAGTGCTTATTATCGTAAGACTTTTATAAAGACATGCGCTGACAACTTTTCTCAAGATAATCGCATCGAGATGTATTTCATCGAGATGCAGATCCAGTTTAAGTTGAGAAAAAATTTACATCATATATATAAAAAAATATAAATCAAAATTATCGAAATAATAAATTCAAAATAATAAATTCAAATAAAATAATCAATTCAAAATAATAAAAAAAATATATATCATCCGCGAGTCCGAAAAGAAGCTAATTCGATAATAAATCAATTTATTTTGATCATACCTTTCCCCTCAATTATTTGAATTAAATCTCGATATATTTCTTAAAAGTGTAATTTCAAAATTTTTTCGATATATCGAATATAATAAAATGGAGCAGAAAATTGTTACGAAAAATTATTGCATCGAATTAAAAAAAAATTACAGACATATCTATTCGAGCTAAAACACTCATCAATCGCAATCGAATGATATGAATGGGAAAATTTTGACGCGTTCGCGCTTTTAGGTCTCTTTGAGCGTCCGCTGGAGTTCATTTAGAATTTTTACGGGCCGCTTTTAGGGAGGCGGATAATAGCGGTGGCAAAAAAAAGGGCACTCTCGGGAAGTGTGTTTAAAACGTGTCGCGCGTAAAATACTTCTCTCCATCAATTTTTTTTTTTTACTTTGAAGCATTATCGTTTTGTTTGATAGAATAAATTCGCGATCTGTATCATTAAAAACCATCGATGGAACTAGTGGAGACGAGACCTATTTCGAGATAAATAATAAAGCATATTATTAAGCAAGGATGAATGATATTATTATGTTCACGCCGACTGTTATTCGCGATACCATCGCGATTACAGCAGTCACAGACACACATATCGGTCATGTACACGTATCCTTATGCACGCGAAGTACAACAGTGGGATAATAATAAACCATCGTTATTCGTATCGATCTTACGATTATTACTCGTGGTATATGATATTCATCAGATTATATAATTATATCAGCTACACGACACCGCTCATATTATATATCTCCGATTCGTTGAAATAGAATTGCGGAGGATAATAATAAACCGTATTATCGCATTTGCATCGATTTTCCGTCCGTGTCGCGATAGTGTACCGGGTATCGATAGTATATCTCGTTATATCCCTTCGTATAACCGAAATTGCCCAAATTATTTTCGTCGCATATTTATTGACTATCCGATTCTTTGAGGCGGGAGTGTGTGTGTATGTGTGTGTAGTTTTATCGATACAGAGGAGAGAAGGAAGAGCCAATACTGAGAAAAATCGCTTGATTGTACCAACAAGACGTATATGATTGAAGCATTTTGGTTAAATCAAACAAGAATTTCTATTTATCATGATAAGACTCGATTTTTTATATCTAGAACGTTTAATAAATTTTACTATAAGGATTTGGATAGTATTTTCTGGTTAAATCTATAAAATTTCTTGTTGCATTAACTTCTTTGCTCGCCGCTAGGCGACGAGCCACTCTTAACTTTACTCGTATTAAATATTTGCCATGAAATGTCTATAAAAAAGTAACTAGTATTAACATTAAATCCGAAGTATATTTTTCTTCTCTTATGAGCAGTAGTGCCAGAAAGAGGACACTCTCTGATTGTGTGTGTTTGAACCACATCCTCTTTTTGCATCACTGTTTATCAGTTTAATTTCTAACAAACTGAATTTAAAATAATTTATTCATTTAATCTGGATTGAATTTATCCAATAATCGTGTTGGAATTCAGAATATTAAACAGACTTTTGAGATTAGATGGAAAAAATTTTATACGACTTGGTGCTGGCGAGTTTATTATTATTAACCAGAAAATTAGGTAAATTTTACAGGAAGAAATTAATCAGATTCATGTAGTAATTCCTACAAGAATTCTGGTTCGTCTATTTTCCAAAAAACATACTGGTTTAATCTATCAGAATTCTAATTAATACAACCAGATTTTTTTCTCAGTGCACTGTTTATCAGTTTAATTTCTAACAAACTGAATTTAAAATAATTTATTCAATAATCTGAATTGAATTTATCTAATAATCGTGTTGGAATTCACAATATTAAACACACTTTGGAGATTAGATGGAAAAAATTTTAGACGACTTGGTGCTGGCGAGTTTATTATTATTAACCAGAAAATTAGGTAAATTTTACAGGAAGAAATTAATCAGATTCATCTGGTAATTCCTACAAGAATTCTGGTTCGTCCATTTTCCAAAAAACATACTGGTTGAATCTACCAGAATTCTAATTAATGCAACCAGATTTTTTTCTTAGTGTACGTATCTCTCCTATTTTTTTTCCTGCTGAGAAAAATCGTTTCATTGTACAAGACGTATATGATTGAAGGCATTTTGATTAAATCAAACAAGAATTTCTAGTTATCATGATAAGACTCGATTTTTTATAATTAGAACGTTTAATAGATTTTATTATAAGGATTTGGTTAGTATTTTCTGGTTGGATCTGAAAAATTTCTTGTTACATTAATTTCTTTGCTTGCTTCTGAACTAAATCGTATTCAATATTTGCCATGAAATGTATATAAAAACTAGTATTATATTAACATTAAATCCAAAGTATATTTTTCTTTTCTTACGAGCAGTAGTGTCAGAAAGAGGACGCTCTCTGATTGTGTGTGTTTGAACCACATCCTCTTCTTGCATCACTGTTTATCAGTTTAATTTCTAACAAACTGAATTTAAAATAATTTATTCAATAATCTGGATTAAATTTATCCAATAATCTTGTTGGAATTCAGAATATTAAACAGACTTTTGAGATTAGATGGAAAGAATTTTAGACGATTTGGTGCTGGCGAGTTTAGTATTATTAACCAGAAAATTAGGTAAATTTAACAGAAATAAATTAATCAGATTCATCTGGTAATTCCTACAAGAATTCTCTGGTCGTCCATTTTCCAACAGACATACTGGTTGAATCTACCAGAATTCTAATTAATGCAACCAGATTTTTTTCTCAGTGAAATCGTGAATCATTGGACAGCTGTTTTTAGCTTAAATAGGCCAATAACATTATTAAAAATCGATCCAAAGGATCCTTTCGGATGCAGAGTGTCAACTTTTCCCCTTTCGAGCCAACTGACGTTCCTAGGTCGGCTGGGCTGAATTAGTTGCTCTCTCTCTCTCTCTCTTTCTCTCTTAGCGACGCTATTGCTTGAAGGAGTCTCCGACCGGGACACCGTTGGATGCCGCAGGATTCTACAGGAAGCGCGTCGACGTGAACGGAGAACGGAAGCGGATGCTGAAGAAGGGAATATCGCTAAGGGAGCTCTTCCCTTCTCCCTCTTTCCCTCTTGCCATTTCGTGCCTGGTGTGCTTCTGCTCGCTCTCGCCCTCCCTGTCTTCCCTCCCCCCGTGTTTCTCCACTTCTATCACCCCTCCGGAGAGAACACTTATACATACGCATACGTGTACGTGTACGTGTGTCTGATTCTCTTTGCCTTTCTCCCATAGTCGCTCTCATTCACTCGCGCACGCTCCTCTCTTTATACCGGGATCCTCTCCCTTCGATCCGCGCCCCGAGGGCGGAGGGTGCCTACCAAGTGGGAAAATCGATCCTCGGCGATGTCCTACCCTAACCCCAACCCCTCGGCCTCGCTGGGTGTGCATACACGCCCCTCCGGCACCCACTTTCCGATCCGGGTCATGGGTCACTGCCACCGCTCGCTTTGCGCTCGCCGTCAATCTGCGAGGGTTTAACGCCGCGTGCACGCTATTATAGCGCGAAAAACGTTAGAAAACACGTCCCTTTTTACGAGATAATTAAAGATTTCTGTGCAACAAATGGCAGAAAGAGAGAGGAAGGGGACGAGGGGGAAGAAGGTCGCATCGAATGTTTCAGATGCTAATTGAAAGTATATTTGATTGCACTGATTGCAAGTATATTTATGTGTATGACAGTCTTGTTCTCTCAACACGGCTCTAATAATCCGAAATTACACTCGCATCAATCACCAAAAATCTCGATAAAATCGAAATATTTTTTCTCAGACGTCCGAAGCATCTTTGTGAGAAAAAATACGTCGACAAATATTTTCGCAATTCTTGTAGAGCCTTATTATATTATTTTACGACAACCTGAATGCTGCACAACTGCTCCGACATAAATTGACTATTTGCGATTTAGAAAAGATAAGCTGTGAATTTCAATAGCGCTCGCGATGTGAAAAAGGAGA